CCAGCAGTATCCTGGACAGTTATTTGTAGAACAATCTTGCGAAAGAAAGTATATAGAAAGTATTTTTTAAATTTCGCACACGTAAGCTCACTAATTTTTGCACGTGTGTTCTTCCTGCAGTATTCCTCGTTTGTGTCACGTTCTGCAGTCATACCAATGTATTATTTATATAGGTTACTGAGATGGACGGCTAGTGTTTTTCAGTCGGACATATTGCGACCTGAGTTAACAAACATCTTACCTGGTCTAAGTTCGGCCGCTCTTCTCGTTAGGTGTAATTCCCAGTCTTTTTCGGCTTGTGCTCGAAACTTCTCTTTTTCCTCTGGTGCAGTAATGAATAGGTGAAATATAGTTCCAGTCATGTCACAAGGCTTGTCACGCAACCAATGTTCACAATTAGAAGAGAACCCCAATGTCACGCTATCTTTGGGGAAACACTGATCGTAGAAATTTGTACCGCTGGCCATGACGAACACGTTGAGGAAGTCAAGGAGATAACTGCGAGGACCAGGAATCAAACCTTGGATAGAACAACCCCGAGTACATTTTGGATCACATGTATATATATTATAATATTGAGATGTAAATACACTCGTCAATTGAAATCCCCGGTCATATGATTAACACAACAAGTCCCACCCATGCTACCAAATTTCGTTAATGATAGCATGCCTCGTTAAGGCGTTATGGCAGAAGCTATAATCCAATCACATTGAAATTTAATTCGATGCCTAATTTGAATTTAACAAGTTCTACTTTATTTCTGTAAGCTTCAAAACAATCTTGAAATCAAATTTCAAAAGATAAATTTCATCTTCCAACCTTGGTAGGAACGCCTAAGCTGAGCTGCGCTGGTTTGACTTAATACTTTTACCTTGTGTTCTCAAGAAAACAGACGTGAAATCATTGACAGGTTGATCCTCGTAGATCACATTGATCGGTAGTTCAGCTCCATATTTTTCTCGTATTGCTTTGACGCATGCGTAGATAAGATCCATCGAAATTCCACCATCAGCCGTCCCATAATCCACTAGGGTTACCACAGACTGTTTTTCTAGGGMCATAGCATCAAGTTCTCTCAGAACCAAAGGGGTCGCTGTCTTAACCACTTGACGATTTGCAATGCTTCGAGTTGAATAAAACCCAGAACCAACCTTACCGTACGGWAAGTGACTATGAGGGACCTGGAAGGAATCAAATTCAATACATGGTTACGTCTGGTTACTTGAAAACCTAAAAAAGATGTTAAACTTAACAAAATACACATGCATTTTAATTAACATTTGTGACTTTTTATATCTCCGAGGATTACCAGACGGAGCAACAGTTGGT